GGATCACACACAGGAGTCTGGGCTTGCTTTGGTTCTGGGCCTAACAATTTCCATATTACACCCCCCTTAATGCTTCACTATATCAGGCCCATTTTTTTTCTTTTTGTTTTCATTTCTTTATTTTAATTGTTTTATATATTTTCGAATTCATTTTTATTTTTTATCATAAAATCAATAAAAAGTCACAAAAAAATAGACTTAGGTTTTTTTTTTTATAATCAAAATCAACTTTTGTAAATTAATTTAGTTTAATTGATTTTAACTTGTTTTCTTTAATTTAAAATTAATTAGAAATTATGTTAAATCTCAAATCTTTTTCATATAAAATACCAAAAATATTTTATTAAGTAATTAGATTTTTAGGCTTTGTCAAACTTATTCTCGTCTTAATTTTTGCGTGTTGTTATTTTTTGTACTATTATTTTTTAATTATGTAACTATTTCCCAGTTTGTAATAGCTTTAATTAGGGTTTAAATTTCCGCATTTAATTATGTAGCTGCCCCAAGGCTTTGTAATAGCTTAGGAATATTATTTTCCGCAATTTACTTACTGCACCCTACTAAGCTGCTTAGATGTATGGCTAATAGGATTGCATGGAAAAATAATGATTAATTGAACATAGCATAACTTAATTCAAAGATAATATATTTGAATCAAGCACAATTTCACACTCGCACCTCTAGGCACCTACTTTGGTTGCCTTCGGAAAGACAATGGTCATGTCCCTCGAACGTAGGGATACCCTTAGCGAAGACCCTCGGTTAAAGTCATCATAAAGATCATATTCCCTTAATGTCCCTCGAGTTGCCTGCGAGAAATGATCTTGTCCCTCGATGTTGCCTACGAATATATGATGACAGTTCCTTCGAACTACTAAGGTATCCCTACATGTAGCCTTCAATGACCATAACAACGACCCTATGCTTGTACCTCGTACATCCAACGATAGGGCTACCTACTCACTAATAGTAGGATAGCACTATCTAAAGGATAGGGAGAAAAGAACGACCTTTTCGAGTATAAGTAGATAAGTTCTTAGATGCTTGCTCAAAACAACTTTTTGCACCTACACAAAAACATTTCAAAACACTTTCAAAAACATTCGCCTTGTCAACACTCTTGAGGACTGATACAAGATTTATCACAAAGCGAATCGCCGCACTAAGGCGTTTTCAAAACACACAAAGCACAAGAAATTTTCAAAACATGAGCTAAGCATCTAAGAGCCTGTAGAAAACTACGGATGGAAAGGGTGCTAACACCTTCTCTTTCCATAATCTACCCCCCTTACTCATAAAACTCTCGAAAATTTCTTTTTCTGTTCTTTTCACCCTTTCCTTAAATTGGATAAAAGAAAAGTCGATGGCGACTCTTGTTTACCGCAACATTTACGAATACAAAATGCAAAATCAGTATTAACAATCGGTTCTGCCACTGTATCACGGTGTGTCTTTAGGCCTATTTAGGGGGAGAAAAATGAAAGGAGAGAGAGAGAGAGAGAGAGAGAGAGAGAGAGAGAGAGAGAGAGAGAGAGAGAGAGAGAGAGAGAGAGAGAGAGAGAGAGAGAGAGAGAGAGAGAGAGAGAGAGAGAGAGAGAGAGAGAGAGAGAGAGAGAGAGACTTAGTAGTAAGACAAAAGGATTCCCTATAGATAAATCATGCTCCAGGAAACATCTGACAAGGTCGCAAAAGCCTGCCATAAAGTAGCAAGGGCAAGCCATCTTTGATTAAAAGGTGAGCTCAACCATCAGTTAAAAAGCTTGTTCGTCTCAACTGACTTGACACCAATAGATAAAAGAACTTGCCAACACTCTAAAAAGGACGACCCAGGGGATATTTAGGATATAAGCAACTTACACCAAGATAAAGAGAGTCAGTCATAAGGTAACTAGCTGGGGTGGGAATCATCATTAATTATACCAACTTGATCCTTAATGGTGAAGTCGGCTTGGTCAAGCTACGGATGGCCCTGACATATAGGGAAACATCCATTAAAAGATTGTGTACAATATGGTCTCGCACTTAAAACACCTCGCCCAAACATGTCTCATGTTTGAGGAATTATGTATAATCCAGTCTCTCCCTATAAAGCATTTCGTCCTTATATATTTGGGTTGCTATCTAGACTTAGTACAAACTTGAGTGTAGAGTAACTGGAATGGATATAAACTCGGGCATGGAGTGGCCTCAATATAAATTGACCAAAGTGAGCAAATCTACCCAAAGGAGGATTAACCAATTTATAGTTGGTACACTTCAATCTGCAAATATATATTTGGAAGCGTATTAACGATCATAAACTACCGACCTCAGAGAAGGAAAAAGGCTTGTTGCCCATTTATTGTCCCCTGCTAGACAAGAGACAATAATCATAATGGCCAATAAATTGGTCATAAAAGACTCAAAGCTTAAAAGACCTTATATTAACTAGTTATCGATAAATCACTGAGACAATTCATACACAAATCACTCATAGAAGATCCTTATTAACTCTCCCTAATACAGTAAACAACTGAACTCCATTGGTCATACACGAAATAACAAGGATGTACTTTTACGAGTACAATTTACATTGACACTTACAACTTTAAATGTTTTTTTAATTTAAAAATATTAATTAAAATCTTATATACTGACGAAACTATATTAAATCTTATGATAAAAATTCATTGAAATCAAAATTACAAAATGTTAGATTTTCTAAGGTGGCATTTAGCCTGAGCCAGATGATTTTAGGCCACCATGAAGAAGTTACATTTTTACCCATTAATATATTATTATTTAATTCAGATGACTGTGATGGATGACTGATTATCTATTAATATTTTTATCTAATTTTAATTATTAATTATTTAATGTTTTTTATATTAAATAATCTGAATAATTAATTCTATTTCATAGTTATTTTCTTCATCTTCAAATATTCATCTTATTCATCTTCTTCATTTTTAAACATTCATCTTTTTCATCTTGCCTGCAAAACATTCATTTTCTTCATCTTTTTCATCTAAATTTCATTGAATAACACAAAAATTACTAAATCCATATTTCAAACTCATATCAATTATTGGAATCACTAAATCTGATGTCTTCAAATCTGAAAAAAATTATTAAATTCAGATTTCAAACTCATCAGTATTATTATCTAAATTTGTAAAAAATAAGGTGTCTTCAAATCTAGAAAAAATTACTAAATCCAGATTTCAAATCTGAAGAAAAAAAATCCCTAAATCCACCAAAAAAATATTTTCAAAAAATCTCAACATAATCCCTAAATCCAAAAAAAAAAATCTGAAAATAAAATATTACAACAACAAATTTAGAAGAAAAAAAAACTACAGATTCATCACAAAATTCCAACATTAAATAAATTTCTATTACGCCAAAAGAATTGAAAACGACTATCACAAATAAAGAATTACATCTACCACAAAATCAGGAAAAAATATAACGAGACACCAAAAAATAATAACAAAGAATCGCAAACAAAAATATCTCAAAACTTGTCAACCAAATCTGAAGAAAAAAAATAGATCCAAAGAGAGAGAGTCTAAAACAATCCGATTCAACTATTCTAGAAAATAAAAGAGATTGATCTTAAATGTTTCCCGATTTTACCTTATCTTATTATGGTCTTTGAATTCAACACGTTCATCTCACATCTAAAATTATTATTTGATGTTTATAGATTTTAGTATAACTCATATTTAGAAAAATCAAAATCTAAAAGGTCAGATCTATGAACATCAAATAACAACTTTAAATATGAATCTTTCTCAAAAATAATCAAACTTTTAAAAAGAAAAAATTTGGTGTTAGTGGATGACGAAGAAGATGATTAGGTATCGTTGAATTTGTTGGTGTTGTTCTTTTACTTTGATTTGAAAGTGAAGAAATTAAGGATGACCATAATGCATGACAGATCTGGATTTTGAGTGTTGCATGTATAAAGAAGAGAAAGAAAATGATTCACATGCAATTTTATGAGTTTGTAATTGGAATAAATAAACAAATAAATTGTATTTAATAATATATTATTTTAACATGACCTGATTACCTCCTGGTGTCAGTAAAAAAGACAATTTCTCCGAAATAAATAAAAAATTGCTTGCCCAGATTAACACCAACATTTCTAAGCCAAATGTTTTAAAGAGAAAAAAAGGAGGACAGATACAAAAATAGCTGAATATAAAGCTAAAAACTTCAAAAACTAATCGAGGCAAAAAATACAGACAAAATGTCAGATTTTCTAAGCCAAATGTTTTAAAGAAAAAAAGAGGACAAATACAGCGGCACAAAGCTAAAAAACTTTCAAAACTAATTCAGGCAAAAAATACAGAAGATCTAGGACCTATTTGATTTAGTTTTGTAAGACTGTTTTTTAAGTTTTAAAATAATAAAATAATAAATTTTTGTTTAAAGAAACAATTTTTTTATAAAAAAAAATCTCTCATGCTTATCAACCAATAACGTAAGTGCCAAACAACAGGTAGGATAAAGCAAAAAGAGAACCATGGAAAGCCAACACTTGTTATAAACTTTTGACCAGACAGCACAATCTTGCATTTACTAATAGCTTTTCAGTACAAAAGGCAGATATCACTGATATGGCTGGCATTGAGTTCAGTGATATCAGTGATATGGCTGCATAAATCGTTCATGTCATATTTGGGGGGAAAAACAAAAAAACTCTTCATTCATATGTCAAATTCGCAACAAATAATATCGACTGATGAGTATTGTGGCCTGTAGCTACCTAATCCACACGTGCACTCCAACTTATTGGAAGAACAAGACAATTTACTAAGAAAGAAAAAAAGTCTAACAAAAAATCAGGATGTAATGATCATTACAATGATCAACCAGATCAGGATACTCTAAACTTATGGAAGATTAGGGGTTTGTTTTTATGGAGAAAGATGAATTTCTATATAAATAAATTATGTGACTTTAAAATGTGATGATACAGCTATGAAAAGTTCCAAAGTGTGTAACCGTGTTCAAGGGTGTGGAGTCTTCCGAGCATATGCTAGAACCATGACAAAATCCTTTGCTGAGGACCCTATAATCGCCGGAATTCGGTCTGATGCGGATGCTGCAGAATCCAGCCACAACTCAACCAAACTATGTAGTTTCAGAGTAGGGAGCACTGGTTGTCCCATACATTTAATCTCAATCTGCATATTAAATTAACCAAAGAGTGAGACAACATGTGTCGAGAACGGGTAGTGAGTGAGACAAAGAACACTTGATTACCGTGACACACAATAATATTGATTTAGAATCATTAAATTAATATTGACGGTTGTTAGTTACAAATCTCATGCAATCTTCTCTCATAGTTAATAAAAGTTATATGTGGGATTTTTCATAAATAATATAATCTAAATTGTTTAATTTTGATCAAATAATTGTAATTAATGTTCTTTATTTTATAAGATACTCCAACATTCTTATTTGATGAAATTCATTGTATGTGCCAGCATTGAGACCACACAATAAGAATGTTAACAAGAGGATTGCTGACATTTTTCTTCATACGATAACCAAGAGTTCAAGATCATGTTATTCCATAATAAACCAATGTCTTTAAGCTAGATATGAATTGGAGTTACCTCAGTTTCACTCGTCAGATCTAGTTTCTTCATTAGGTATTTTTGGATAAACGAGACAGGTACGCTTCCATCCCTGTGGCAAATACAAGAGATATTATGTTAGCCATGATTTATGTTTATTCATATTAAGCTTTAGCAGCAGTAGCAAAGATAGAGGGAAAATAGTTTCTCAAGCATGTTTCTGTCATTCAAATAGCTAGCAAAAACCATTTAATCTTGATACACATTAACCTTCAGCACAGTATAGACAAATGAATTACACTAAAATATTAATCCAGAGAGCATCATATTCTAACTGCAATATTTACTGATGTGAAAGAAAAAAAAATCATTTACATGCAATTCTGGATTTCTTGACAGCACGTGTGTAACTAAAAATTCACATATTCATTTTATTGAGATAGGTCTTTAATATTAATCTTCTTTTTTACCATTTTAGTTTTCCTTATGCTAAAGTAGCTTATGTATTTCCTCGGCATACAAGTTGTCACATTTACAAAAGTAGTCTCCATTGTGTACTGGAGTGAAAAAACAAACGAAAATTGCATGACTATTAAAGTCTATAAATTACGGAATGCTAAGAGAATGTGATATTCTGATGCACAACCAATGCAAGGTCAAAGTAAGTGATTCCTTCTTCAGTCATTCAATATATTGCTTAAAAATTTACTATAGATGTAATACATGAAATTCATACATATGTATTATTCAATAAAATATAGTGGTATGTGTTGCTCCAAGTATAAAATTCCAATTTTTAAGCATGAAATAAATTTAAACTTAAGTAGTTAACATAATCAATACTCAACGTTCAAAGATTCTAAAGGAACTTACTTTATTCTCAGATAGCTAGCAGGAATTTGTGGCAAGGGTGCATCTCCTTCCCTGAAACATTAATCTGAAATTAGTAGATGATCTTTCAACGTCCTGAAAGTGGATCTATAGATCATATTATGCACCTGATTGCATGATATAAGATTATAAGTTATCAATTTAAGTTTCGAAGATATATCTTACTGGTTTTCAGAAGCTACTAAGCAGAACCAAATTGGACCACTCATAAAGAGTTTATTGCTGGTAGAATCCACCACAGCTTGGGGTGTTATGCCTGATTCTCCAAAAGTTTCCTTTTTCTTGCGTACTCTGCGCAATTTATTGGGTTTTGCTGTGTCTGAAGAAACTGGAAAAGGGCTAATTTTTTCACCCTCAGCTTTTGCCTTGCGTTTATTTTCCTTATTTTTTATTTTCTGCACTTGAGAGTCACTTTCATTTACTTGAATAGGTTCAAGTTTAGCAGTGGAACCTTGTGTATTAGACTTGAAAGATTTAGTCCTGCTTGCGACTTCCACTAAACAATTCAGCGGTTTCCAAAGATCCAACTTTGCATCATATGTTTCAGCACCATTCTCTGTTTCTTTATTTGGCGTGGATTGACTACCCTCGCTCTGCATCAAGTTAAAGTTCAAGCATAAGAATATAAGTAAACTAGTGCTAATATCTGCAAAATCAAATGAATAAATATGAAGCATTGACACGGGCGTCGACACCAGACACGACATTGACACGGGTAATAATTTGAGAAAGGGAAATATTTGATCGAATGTAACAACATATGTTCTATCGTGTCGGACGCGGACAATGGGCACGCCTTCAACCGCGGGTGTCAGCACTACACAATAAAACATGGAGAGCTAGATTGTGCCTCCTGCTACCTGTCCATTGTTCTGGCGCAACTTATTTGAAGTTTCAGGTGAGCTTGAACTCTCGGGACGGTCGTCCAATAATGCTTCCTCTTTTTTAATCAATCTTTCAAATGAAAAACTAGAGGACCGCAGACTGCTAGCCTTTCTTGTAGGTTTTGTTCTTCTTCCTGTCATGGTTGATTGTGCCGATACCCTTGGTGTGTTGACCACCAAAGACGACAAAGATCTTTCTTTTCTTTTAGCTGGCAATGGTACTGAAGCCGCAACAACTTCAGGTTCTTTCACCTTTCTTCCCTTTAAGGGGAAAATCTTGGCCCTTACATCTTGCTTAGTGTGGTCCGGCCTGATAATCAGAAATCAAGGTTGTAACTTAGCATGCAGCAATTCAGACATTAATTTCCGTTACAGTTTTCATTACATTAATTTCTGATTTAGCATGTCTTAAAACAATCTACATTAAATATGCTATATACTATTAAACATGTGAAATAATGCTATATACTATATACATTATCAACTAAATTACTAGAAGATATAAAATTCAAATGATTATAACTCCCCATCTACATGCATGCATTATCATGAAAAAAATTCTCAGGCTGGAAGTATATATTCTTCTTGAGCTAGTTTCATACGGCAACAAAACGATATAATCTTGATAACACCAACATAGCATAAAGCCATAAGTCATTTTAGCATCCTTACAAAAGCACTCATGGCACAACATGCATATATATAGTTTACATCCATACATTTCAGAGAATAAGAACGAGTTGAAAAATCGGAGAAAAGCGGAGAATGTTGACCTTAGTTTCTCAAGTGGAACACAGCCCAAATCAATGTTGCATTCTGGACAGCATTCCAAATCCTCATCAGAAATTTTGTCATAAATGCACTTCCTGCAAACTGAATACAAATAATATAACTTTTAGCTCAAAAAAGCAGACAGAAAATTGAAGTCAACAAATAGCTATATCATCATAAATAGATTATGAAAACATCAAATAAAACAAACACTATCAAACCGAAATGTATAAGAAAAACCACATGGTATAATGTCATTGCATGCGGTTAAAAAATAGGTAGAAGGTATGAATTATAGTAAATGAATAGTTGTTATTGTAGTGAAAAGTTCAAACAACTTTCCAACATTAGTGGAACAAACAACAACACAAGTGCAAAACACACACAACATAAACTACTGAATACTTAACCAATCCAAACAACAATGTTTCTGAGTTCTGAAAAACATATGTATATATATATATATATATATATATATATATATATATATATATATATATATAGAGAGAGAGAGAAATAAAAAAATAAAAAAGTTTTTTTTAGAAGAATCAAATAATGAATCTGGATGAATAGTAAAAGAGGCAAAAACCCATAGATAGATAATGCAAAAAAGAAGATGAATTTAAAACGGGATTGAAGGAGATCGATCGAAAGGGCTTACACGTGTGAAGACATTCGGATATAGTTGTAGCTTGTTTGAAGAGCTTGTTACAAAGTGGGCAAGTCATGCATGCTGCAATCGTCTCTCTTTTGACTCTCACAACTTGATTCGTCATAGTTCTAGATTCTCACGATCTTCTTTACCTTGTTAATTTCTCCTTCTTTCTCACTCACACTCGATACGTAATTTCAGTTACTGCATGCTATATGTCTCCAACACCGTCGAATTTTACGTTCATTTTCGATGAAATCGTAACCTGCATTAATTGAAGAGAAACAAACTATGTGAGAAAAAGAAAGAAACGAGAGAGAAAAGTATAATGAAATTGTGTATAGAATGAGAGTAGAATAAAAGAACCTGATCGGTTTCGTATTCAGGGGGTGTTAATAGAGAATGAGAGGGTGAGATTGGTAAAGATTTGACGTGGGTTGTAATAGATTTGGGAAAAGAGAGAGAGTGCGGTTGAGGATGATCTGAATCGAGAGGACCTGTTCGTGGAAAAGAGCATGAACCAAAAAACAAACCCAACTCGTTTCTCTCTCTATTCTTTCTTGTGTCTTTTTTTTTTTTGGGGTGAATTTTATTTTTGTTTTTGTTTTGAGTTTAAATTAAAATATTTGGAGACTTATGTTCCATATTTCAACTAACGACAGCTAGGAAGATGAGAAATTGATAACGTGCGCCGAGGTAGATATGCGCGGTGCTAGGCGGCGTCTGGTGTCACTCAATAGGCTCCAAACTTTTAACAACTTTAATTAACTCCTCTTTTTTTACTAGTCTACTCTTTTGAAAATTTCTCTCAATTTTTTTATATGTTAAGTCAGTCCTTAAATATAACACTAATTTGAGTTTTTCCCCATTCTTATAAGTTTTTTAAAAAATAAATTCATTACTATGTGTGTCTCTTAAATAAATTGATCCTATCATAAAATATTATTTTTTAAAATACTTTATGATTTATTTTTATGTAAAATTAATTATATTAAAATGGACAATCGTGCAAAGTACGAGTTAATTTTTTAAAAAAAATATTTTTAAATTTTGTTTAAATTAAAAAGATAAATAATAAAAGTTTAAAATTAAATATATTTAATAAGTGATCAGTATAACTGAGAATATTTTACGGGTAATGAGATACTCAAGAAAGTCTTTTAGTTTTAATTTGTAAAAAAAAAAAAACTTCCTTTCAACCGTATGGTTGTGGTATTTATAGAATTAATCATTTGGCTAAGTCGTTGTCAAGAAGACCATTTCTAATACCTATATGTTCGTCCTGATCATAGGAATACGAGGAATTAACATTCTTCTCTTAATGGGGGATGCAATTATCATGTTGGACTAGTGATGACTTCAATAATGTCTCACAGTATGTTGTTTGACGCATCCTTCTATGTTTAAGGGTTGGGATGTATTCTGTTAGATTGGACGATCCATGATTGATGTGTATTACGATGGACCATGCGATATCACGTGACCAAGATCCGTATTGGGTAGGATCAGATATTACATGATTGTGGCATATTGACTTAGACCAGACAATATCACATGATCACGCCCTTTCGCACCCAATCTTCCCATGTGTCATTTCTGAATTAAATGTGTGATGGGTCGACCTCTCTGAGGCCTATACGAAGTTATTTTAGTTCATAGTCCCTTAAGCATGAGGCTTGGAAGAGCAATTTGGTTAAGCTAAAGTATATTGGTTCACACTCCCTCAAGCACGAGGCCAGTAAGGGCGAGTATCTTAGGCACGAGTCCTCGAAGAATGAGTCTTACATGTGTGGAGCTTTGAAATGGCGAGTGTGTAAAGGGTTAGTTCTCACTTTCGGGGCGTGATGTCCTTTAATATTGAGGAAACAACTAGGATAGGCGTGACAACTAGGTTCTTTGAGGAACATGGTTTATTTAATGATATGTAATGATGAATATGCATTTGAAATATCCAAGCAATGTGTGACTTTGATTTGTTTCCATGCTTGTATTGAGGTTGTTGATTCTCCGCCCCTATAGTAGTATATACAACTCTATTATTTAGGTGATGATGACCTTACTCAGTCTGAGGGAAAATTAAACCCAATAAATATAAGTCAAAATTCGCTCTCTCTCTCTCTCTCTCTCTCTCTCTCTCTCTCTCTCTCTCTCTCTCTCTCTCTCTCTCTCTCTCTCTCTCTCTCTCTCTCTCTCTCTCTCTCTCTCTCTCTCTCTCTCTCTCTCTCTCTCTCTCTCTATCACACACACACACACACACACACACACACACACACACACACACACACACACACACACATACACACACACACACACGCACACACAGTGTTAGGAATATTTGGGAGCTATGATCATAGTTCTAGTAGTTCTGAATCTGGCGACTATAGGATAATAATAATGAACTTATTTTGCCCTATTATTTCCTAGTATAAACATGATCATCAATGACAACTACTAGTACCAATTGTGTATGAGTTGTTGATGTTGGGATCATGTACACTAGCGAGGCTATGGTGGCTTAGTTTCGTAAGGACCTATATTTGGAGCCATACAAAGAGGGTGAAAGGATCAATATGGAAGTGCTTGAAGAAGTGAAAAACACAAGAAGGGGGGGTTGAATTGTAAAACTGAAAATCAATGCAATGAACAAGATATTTTTATCCTGGTTCGTTTGATCTCAAACTACTCCAGTCCACCCGTCAAGGTGATTTCGCCTCTCTCCAACGAGGTCTTAATCCACTATATTCAACTGAATATTACAAACTAATTTAACAACTGCTAAAGCCTTCTTGATGCAAACCACAACCCGGTTTATCAAGGAAACACTTTCTTACAAAGAAGATAAATCTAGGTGTGTGAATGTTTTCTACAAAACTGTATCACAACTGTGATGTATACACAACTTAAGCTTATGAAACTAGATTGCTAAACAATGATTGAGTAAGGAGATATGTAGCGTTTAGCAAACTGAGAGAAGGAAGATTATGATTAGCTTTTAGGCGTGTAAAATGTTGGAGAGCATTAGCCAATTTAATCTTCATAGTCTTGTTTATATAGCACTGAGATTGTTGAACGTTGGAGCAATATTCTTGATTCAATGCTAATAACAAACTTTCCTTATCAAGCAGATCTTGTCTGGAATGAGGCCGTTGGTAATAATTTGCTTTCAATGCACAGTATCGTTGCTTACTTAATGCATGTTCTGGCTTGGCTCATTCTGACTCTGCTTAAGTGCTGATGAACTGTTGTTGTCTTTATCAGAGTGTTGAGCGCAGTTCTGTTCATCAAGCTTCAGCATACACGTGAGTTAATCTTCTGATTCTGGTATTCTGATATAGCAACTTCTGATGCTGATGTCAAGAACCAATATTCTGATGCTGATTAAGTGTGCTCTTGCTGATACCTATCAGAGTTTCTGCAAAGCAGAACGTAATATTTTTAGGTAGCAAATAGTTCATACATGAATCATATAAATAATATATCTTTTCATTTTGTTATCATCAAAACTTAAACATAGGGTAGTAGATTCAAACTTTGTTCTAACAATCTCCCCCTTTTTGATGATGACAAAAACCAGATATTTTTAATTGAAAATAACGTGAAAAGCATTAGAGATAACTTAGTGATAGGATGTATCAGAATAAGAAGTTATCAAAGATAAGGGATCAGAGTTGAGAGATACTCCCCCTGAGTTTATTACTTCCCTTTTTGATTCCAAGAGTTCTTCAGGATCAGATCTTTTTGCCTTTCTTTGAACATCAGAATATCAGAGTCTTTGACTATCAGAAGCTTTAGATCAACATATCAGAGCAGAGCTTCAGATCAGCGTATCAGAGCTTTTCTTGTCAGAGATTTGCTTTGGGTCAGAGTATCAGAGCTTTAGTCTTCAGAGTATCATGGAGCTTTCTTGTACCTGTAGACTTAAGCAAAACAGAAAACATATTCAAGTATATCAGAGTTAGAATGTTCGAGAATTTCTGTCTTAGTAATCCGTTATTATTTAAAATATCATTCTTGTTCTCCCCCTTTTTTTCAGCAATCAAAAAGTGTAAGTGATGTGCTAAAACAGTTAAGGCAGAAAAACTTGTCATATTAAAAGGTTCAGAATCAAACAAAACAGTACAACAGATAATCAAAGAAAACATGAAAAAGACATGAATGAAAAAAACTAAGGTTGGGGAGGAAGGCGTGTGAACAGGTTCTCCAGCATGGCTTTGATCTGATCAGCAGTCTCATTCTGCTTGTGCACCATGCTGACAACTGTGTCTATCTTGCTATCCTGCACATCCATCCTTTCTTTCATCTTCTGGTCATTTTCATCCATTCTTTGCTGCAGACGCATGTCATTCAGCTTCAGCTCTTCCAGAGTCTGCCTGTCCAAGGCAGCTTGAGAAACATCAGAAGTAGGGAGCTTCTGAGAGCTTTCTGCAACATCTTCTGCTTGACTTGCTTCAGCTTGAATAGTCTTGTCTTCTTCTGGTTGCACCTTTGAAGCTGGCTGTTTCTCAGACCATGGCTCACTATGCAGAGGGAGCACGTCTTCCTGTGACAGCTGACTTTCAACTTCCTTCAGCAGCTTGTTGAAGTTCTGTTGTGCCTGCTCATAGTTGATATCCTGCAACTTGAGGGCTTCAGCACGTACCCAAATTCTGAATTGTGACCAGAGCTGGTCAGAGGCAGTTGGGTCAAGCATTACAGGACAGACTTGCTTCAGAGAAGCAATACACTGCTGCAAACCTGTTTCAAAATTCATAATACCAGAGCCAACATCTGGTTGTTTTGGTTTTGGAATGGCTATTTTATTTTTCAGATCAGCAAGACGGTCAAGGATTGTTAAGTCTATGAAGGTCCTGCTGGGGTTTTCGGTGGTTTGCTCGGGAGCTGTTTGTTTTGGAGATGGAGTGGGAGAATTAGAGATAATGATTGGACTGTTTGGGGTTTTGGGAGTATTTGGTGGTGTAGATTCTGACGAGGATGGCAGCTGGGCCATTGTGACTGTTGTTCCACATGGCAGCTGGATTGCCAGAGGTGATGGTTGAGGTGAATGAGGTTCAGAAGATGGAGGAGTTGGAGTTTCAGAGTGATGAAACTCAGGTTGAGGTGATGGTGGATGAATTTCTGGTTGAGGAGAGGGAGAAGGAATTGCTGGTTGTGGAGAAGTTGTTGGAATTTCTGGTTGTTCAGGGATAAGAGGTTCTTTTGTAATGGGTGAGAGAGGTTTTTCTGGTCGTGGAGAGTGGACAATTTATGGTTCAGAGTTTGGATTAATGTGTTGATCAATGTCAGACAGCACTTTGTCAATTGTTGATGTTGTTGATATTGTTGGTTTGGGATGTTTGGTTCGGGGTCTTCTGAGTTGTAATGCCTCAGAAGGGTCATCTTCTGGTTCAGTTTCATCTATTGTTGGGATGGGGATTGAGATTCTATGAGAGGTTGGAGGTGGAATTGATGCTGGAATAGTAGAAGAATTTAAAACAGAAGCAGCAGATAAATTACCTCTTTTCTTGGGTGTCTGCTGGGATGATCCTTCTGAAGGTGCCTTCCTTTTCTTCGTCTTCTTCAGTGTCACTTCTGGTTGAGGTTGGTGCAGATCTTTGATCTTCAGATTGGGATCTGTACCATCAGCTTTGCACGCGTCCAGATATCTGAGAACCACCACTGGTTTGGATTCTATCTCAGAAAATAAAGGAAAGTCACTCAGTGGGACTCTTCTGCTGGTGATATCAGCAATAGGAGTAGCGCTGGGTTCCTTTTTGATATTCTCTATCAACTTCATTTTCTTCAAGTTCTTCGCGTTCAGAGGCTTCCCAACCGTTGGTTCAATGGTGCTTAACTCTTGAGCTTCTATCAGATGCTCTATCAGCCTATTCTCAGTCAGAATATCTGATATCAACCTTCCAAAGGGTATCCAATCCCTCTTTGTTCTTTCTTCTTCCCTGGTTTCCTTCACGCTTGTTCTGAGGTGATTAAACAGAAGATGAGCCAAGTTGATTTTTACCTTCTGATTGATAAAGTAGATCAGAAACTGCTGATCTACATTTATGTAATCAGGGGAACTAGTTGGCTTCCTATGGTTAAAGCACCCCAGAATTATCTTCGCCCAAACTCTGTGATGATCCTTCAGATCTTTGATCTTGCTGCTGGGCACCCCATGGGTGAAAATCCTTTCTGCTATGACGCCCACGTCAGCACATCTCTCAGCCATATCAATACAGCGGACGCCACCCGCCACTGTAACCAATTAACCTTGCTATGTGATCCTCAGTGATCACAATCTTCTTCCCCATAATGTAGGAGGTGACTTGATGCGTTGAAGTCGTTGCATGAATCCAGAACTCCTTGACTAACATAGGGAATGTTGGTCCAACCAACCTGTCAAAATACCTTTCCCATTTC